TGTTCAGACAAATTTACAGGTCATGTTGCTAAAGTATTAAATGGTCCGTATTGATAACCACTTATCTTGGACAGGAACTTACTTTTTTACTGTAGCCCATCCCCAACCTGTGGTCTGCAGACCTATATACTTCTTCGTGAATTTGAACTTACCTATTTCCCGTTTCCTCTCATTAGTCGTGCAACTGTGAAAGAACTCTGTCATCAGGTTCTCCAATGCACGAAGAGATGATTCATCTGAAGCCTAAGAGGAGAAAAAAGCAAACACAAAAATCAAACTATAGGATAAAGGACAAAAAAAAAAAAAAAGGTATATCTAGATAAAATATCGTGCCAAACCCCAGATGGAGATCATTCCTGGAAGTATTTAAATGTAGAACAAGACTTCATAAAAAAATTATTAAAGAGTTCCAGGATATGATCAGAGTTATTTGTCAGTTTCTAATGATGTAATCTGGCAAAGGAAAGGCACATTGATCAAGTGAATTTAGGTTAATGTAGCTCAGAGGATTCACTTTGCTGTGCTGAAAACCTCACTTCCTTTGCATGCCCAGACTTGCGACTGTATTCTTCTCACTCTCGATAATGTCAGTTTTCGTAACAGTCTTGTTGAAAATTGAATGCAGCGATCTGTCTTTTTGCAGCAAGAGAAGCTGGGCCCCGACTTGCAGAAACGAGGAGCCTTTTAAAGAGCATTCCCGTCTGAATTCCTCAAATACGCCTCAACTTCATCCGAGGCTACACTACTAAGAAGGGTTATTATGCAAGATGGGCGTCTTGCACCGTGAAATGGCTAAAACAACTGACAGATTTCACGGAAACACCTGGCCTCAAACCGTTAGATCGCACGTTAACCAGAGATACCTGGGCTACTCAATCAGGCTGGTTCATATTTTGTCCAACATAAGGAGCTGTTTCGGTTTAGAAACAGACATCAAACGACCCTAGAAAAGACAGAAATAGATAAACATCACGTACTGATATGTACTTACCATGTTAGTCTGGCTCAGATGTGTCCTTCACTTTATTCAGTTGCCGATCAATTGACCGTAACAGGCCAACATTAGTTTGTTGCTAGTAGATTCTATGCTAACACAGGCTAAGGTGTTGCAGGCTAACGTAACCGCACACCGAACTCATCATGGTGCACAACTGCTGGCTCGGTGCTCTGCACACAGCAAACACCACTACAGCTAGCTTGCTATTAAACGAAGAAAAAAAAAAACACTACAGTGCTATTAATATTGTAACCATCAATAATAAAATCCTAAGAGTAAAACAGCCCTAACGTTGAAAGGTCTATGTCAAACTTAAAAGTTAGCCGCATTATCGTATGTCGCCGTTAAATCGATAGGAACAATTAGCATTGGTCAAAAATAAAACCAAATTACCTCTTCCGTCTCCAACTAAGCTAAAAACGATTGATTAGCGTCCAAAGTCTGCCATTTCGTAGGCTAATTAACCGTTGCTACCGCTACAGCGGATGCGGCTAAAGCTGTTAGCTTTTCTAGAAGGCTGGAGGCATCATTCTCGTTAGCTTAAATGTCAACCGTTGCCGCCGCTCAGGACAAATTGTATTTACAGTTTATGGTTTCGGCTCGGAATAATATGCATAGATATGATTTCATCTGAAATTCTTGCTGTGATAAACCAAACAATCCTACACACGTCTGTTCCTGTTATTTCCCTTTTCAAAGCGCAGGGCGGCTAGCTTCAGTTCAGAGTCTGCTTCACAACTTCCTCTTTTGACCCAATCAGCTTGTGTCAAGTCAAAAACGCACAATATCCGGTTTTATCTTTCCATCTCCAGTTTATAGTAGCATTATATAATAAATTCTAAATACGTGCTTTTAATGGGAGCTTTATAATCGTACTATTGTGGCATAAATATCTAAATTATGGTTAATTTAAAGCTCTAAAATGTGCCCTTTTAGTTTTTCTGCAAACAAGAATTTACAGTTATTTAATACATTTGAATGGTTATGTGTCTTAATTTAACTCCAAATCAAAGTTAAAAAACAGTAAAAGTATATATCCATATTAAATACAATTATTTAAATGCACAAAACGTTTTACTTTTATTTTGTAATGATGTAGTCTCACAGTGTTTGAAGTACATACAGGTCCTTCTCAATAATATTGAAATAATGAACTTTATCACAATATGCTAATATATTATATTAGCATATTGTGATAAAGTTCATTATTTTCCATAATCTGAATGATAAAACTTAAACATTCATGTATCTTAGATTCAATGCACACTAACTTAAATATTTCAGGTCTTTTATTGTCTTAATACGGATAATTTTGGCATACAGCTCATGAAAACCCAAAATTCCTATCACACAAAATTAGCATATCATGAAAAAGGTCTCTAAACGAGCTAAGCACCTAATCATCTGAATCAACAAATTAACCCTAAACACCTGCAAAGGATTCCTGAGGCCTTTAAAACTCCCAGCCTGGTTCATCACTCAAAACCCCAATCATGGGTAAGACTGCCGACCTGACTGCTGTCCAGAAGGCCGTCATTGACACCCTCAAGCAAGAGGGTGTGACACAGAAAGATATTTCTGAACCAATAGGCTGTTCCCAGAGTGCTGTATCAAGGCACCTCAGTGGGCAATCTGCGGGAAGGAAAAAGTGTGGCAGAAAACGCCGCACGAGAAGAGGTGACCGGACCCTGAGGAAGATTGTGGAGAAGGGCAAATTCCAGACCTTGGGGGACCAGTGGAAGCAGTGGACTGAGTCTGGAGTAGAAACATCCAGGGCCACCGTGCACAGGCATGTACAGGAAATGGGCTACAGGTGCCGCATTCCCCAGGTCAAGCCACTTTTGAACCAGAAACAGCGGCAGAGGCGCCTGACCTGGGCTATAGAGAAACAGCACTTGACTGTTGCTCATTGGTCCAAAGTACTTTTTGCAGATGAAAGCAAATTTTGCATGTCATTTGGAAATCAAGGTGCCAGAGTCTGAAACCATCCCTTTTTAATGGAGTAAATACACAATAATAGAGATGATGGTTTAAAGGCTTACCCAACAGTGCTGATTGGGAAACACTGATGAGGTCAAAATAGAGATTTAATCAACACTGACATTTTGCAATATGGCTCACTTTATTAGCCAGAGACAGATAAGAGGAGTACTTTTTTTTTTTTTACTTAGCAAAGTGCATGTAAATATGAGTCATAAATAAGGCCATCTCTGTCAGAAAACAGTACAATAAAACATACAATACATTAAAAAAACAGTAAAATTAAACAAGAAAAGTAATCTACTTTTACAGTCTTAATCTTATTAGTTCATGGATAAGATACACATTATTATTCTAATTCCCAGCACCTTTGATCTGCAGGTCCAGAAATCAATATAAAGCAGCAAAACAAAAACCTGCATGAGACAAAAAAAAAAAGGTTTGAGGAAAGATGCTAATTAATTACTACTTTTCAAACATCATAAAATATGAAACATACAAAAAATATGAGATGGTAAATAATTACTGAAGAAAATAAACTACATAAATCAAGGCCAGCTTTATGAAAGCATGTTTACTTTGCTAAAAGGATTGTTTTACAGTCATGCTTGTGAGTGAACGCACCCTCTTTTAGGTATTTGATTTTATATGTTTATAGATATTAATAAGTATGCTCAACAGCCAATTTGATCTATGTAGAACTTCAGATGAAACAGAACATTTAATATAGTAGCACTGAGCTGTGTCACAATTTAAATGAAGAATATTAAGCCAAAACAGAGATAATGTTAAAAATATATATTGTTTGCACTGTCTGATCCCAGCTGCAGCAGGTACTGCTTATCAAACACTCAACCTTTTTGAGTTTCAGGACTTCAATGGAATCTCTTAAATGGTTTGTTATAATGCTGCATTTCATTTGTACTCACAGTATCTGACCTTAGAGCAGATAACACCCGATTTCTGCATTCAAGAAGGCTGCTTTTCACATTAGAAGTGGTTACACTTTCCTTCTTTGACTGTTTTTAGACATTTTTCATTATTAGTGGTTAGGGCATTGCACTTGGACCCCAGAGGTTCTAAATTCGAGCCCCACTCCCACAGACTGCCACTCTGGGTCCCTGAGCAAGACCCTTAAATACCACATTGCTCTCCGGGCGCTGCACAATGGCAGCCCACTGCTCCCCAAGGGGATGGGTTAAATGCAGAGAGTGAATTTCATTGCTTTGTACTTGTGACAGTGTAATGACAATAAAGTTGAATTTTATTGTATTCTAATTAGTCATATATGCTCTACTTTAGTTTTTAAAGACTTGATGTTCCAATGCTGTTTATATGCAGAAAATACTGCATAGAAGATCGGATCGCCATCATGTCAAAAATGACATCACCCCGACTTCCCACTTCCAAGTTAAATGAAGCGCAGAGTAATGATTAAAAGATAACAAGGTTGGAAAAGTGGTTGTTGTTGACATTTCTTAATCTACAAAAGGTTAAAAGGCTACCTTCAGTTTATCTTATTTATAAAAATATTCACCCCATGTAAGCAAGAAAGCTTAGACTGGATGATTTTAAAAACATTTGTCATAAAAAGCTTCACGCAAAACTCAGTAAACAGTTTAGCTCTTCATCTGATGATGAATTATTTAAAAACAAGTGTAAGCTCTTTGGGTAAATAATAAAGAAATTCATAATAGGATATTTTTTCATTGTCTATTTTAAACAGCTAAAATAAGAAAGAGGAGAAATAATAGAAGATCTTTAAAAAAATGCAAACATGCTGTTGTTTTGTAAAAAAAAATATTAGATCAAAACAGATGCCTGGTTATTTCAAAAAACAACAACAACAAAAAAAGAAAATGTCAGACTTCATGGGTAATGTCCGTTTCAAAAGCCTTAAGTGTTTGGGAATAATCACTTGCACCATGTGTGGCTAGTAACAATGACAAAGAACAAATAAAAAAAGGCCAAAACATTGTAAAAACTTTCTAACATGATGGCAGACGGTTCGTTGTTATTTTTCTTTTTTTTTTCCCAGCTACAGAACCGGGATAGTATTCACACACACACAGAAACTTCAGGTGCAGGGTTGTCCATAGACACCTTTGACAGTTAAATCCGACGTGAAACTTTCCAACTATAGCTGCAAATCTACAGACACATTTGCACTCATGGCTCAGTTTAAGTTTGGGTTTATACTCTTGCATTGTGATGCTAACTCTGCCAAAGGTGGCAGAGATAACATCAAGCTTAGATCAGTGATTATCTTTAGAATTTGTCAAAAAAAACAAGCACACAATGTAACATAGAGTGGGTTGTTTGGCAACTCCCTAAAGATCAACAGAGGTATGTTCATGTAACATACTTTCTCAAGACTTAAGAGTTTGACTCCCTTTTAAAAATAAAAATAAATAGTCTAGTTAGTCTATGACGTCTGTAAAACATTAATACCTAAGAGTAGTTCATCCTAAGTGATAGTGTTTCTAACATCAGAGCATTATTTTTTTTTTAAGTGACTAAATCGTCCTGAACTATTTAATGGCCAGCATCACACGGTTTTGCACTGAGGTTTTTGTTTTTTTTGACTGGTGTGATGCGGTTGTGCTTGCATATTGTAGGCCCAGGCTCTGTCCACACCATGTCCCTCAATCCTGCAAGGGTTCCAGTCTGGGAAGGGGAAACGGCCAGCCACCACTAAGGCATCATTGGGAAGCTCGTCCTGCAACTTTTTCTGTAACAATGAAAGCTAGAAACACAGGAGAAAAAGAACAATTACTGCAAAACTTACATGTAACTCAAATTCTATTTCATCCATGGGCTATGCCATTTCTGAATTGTTCATTTCTTTTTTATTACACAATCTGTTTAAATTGGCAAAAAATAAAACTAGGTGATGAAGGTAAGAGGCTTCCTTTTACTTAAAAACTTAAATTAAGTTAAACATGGTTTACATATGACGTAAGAGTGTGTTATAAAAGCATTTCAAAAGGTTGCTTTTCCTGAAGGCTTGCAATTTAGAAAAAAAAATGTCTCTGTAATGCCTTTAAGGGATGCACCATACTTTCTTCCAGCTAAGAGCTGTGTGTTCAAAACAATACTTACCACACTGGGAGCCAGAAACACTGTGACATTCTTGCATTTTGACAAGTCGATCTGAGATGGAACACAAAGAGGAATGTAAATTGAACGACAGGTTTAAGAAGAACCAAAACGGCAAGAAACACCCTAAGCAGTTTTTGTTGTTTTTTCTTTTTTTTTAAATGCCTTTTTGTATTCATGAGTTTCTTTAGCTATGTAGCTATCCAAGAGTCAAGTGATTTTACAAAAGAACCAACAACTGTAAATGGGTTTATAATAGGGCTGAAACAATTAATCGAATCAATTGGGATTAATTGGTTATTGAAATAATCGTCGACTAATTTAGTAATCGATTAATCATTAACTGGAGTATAGAGACTAAAACATGCCTTTAGCTGACAGAGCGACCAACTTAGAGCAGTAATTATATCAAAAAATAAAAAATAAAAAAAATATATATATATATATATATATATATATATATATATATATATATATATATATATATATATATATATATATACATTTAGCACTTAAGATGAAAAAAATGTTCATCTGTCAATATTTTCCTTCAGAACTCCTCAAGTGGAAAAGTTTTAGTTTAACAGATTAATCAATTGCTAAATAATTGTTAGTTGCAGCTCTAGTTTAAAGGTGTTTGGACACCTACTATTAGTGGTAGAGCAAAGTCTAAGCCTTTATTGGAACAGCATATTTGAATTCTTGTTGAGTTTGTTCAATACTCTCCATTGATATATGTGAAAAAATGTCAAACCTTCCAGAGATCTTCTTGTCTGTATGACACTTTTCCATGGTGACCTGCTCTCCAAGCATGAAAGCGAGCCAGCTGTACAAGCCAGGGGTTGAGTTCATAACCGACCGCAGGAGCAAAGCCATGCTGATAGGCTTCCAACACCTGAATGGTCAAAGGAAGCAACTGGACTGTAAACACTTCATCTCTAGTGAAGAGGGCACAGAAGCGCTTGTACTTTCTGCGGAGGATGAGGAGAGCCCGCCTGCCCCCGCCCATCCTCACAGCCTTCTACAGAAGCACCATAGAGAGCGTTCTGACCAGCTGTCTCTCTCTGTGGTGTGGAGGCTGCAGAGCTTCTGACTGGAAGAATGTGAGGAGGGTGGTGAGGACAGCGGAAGGAATCATTGGGGCTCCTCTTCCCTCCATTAAGGACATTTCATCACAGCGCTGTGTGTCCCGAGCCCGTAATATCATCAAAGACCCCTCACACCCCCACCATGGACTGTTCTCCCTGCTGCCCTCTGGAAAGAGGTTCCGCAGCATCCGCTGCAGATCCACCAGGTTGTGCAACAGCTTCTTCCCCACTGCCATCAGACTGTTGAACCTTTGATCCACAATCCGAACTCTGCACCTATTGCACATTATCGGGCATCAAATGCTGCTGAACTTTTAACTTTTAGCCCTTTAAATTGTTCATCTCATTGTATTTTTCAATAACGCATTTTTTGCACAAATGCCATTTTGCACTGAACCACTGCAACTTGCACACTGTCTCTTATCCTCTGCACTGTTCACACTTTGACCACTGCTGCACTTTTTGTATTTTTCTATAACTCGTGCCACTGTGAAATATCAATGCAACGTTCATAAGCTGTATGTAACGCAATTTCGTTCTGTATGCACCCTGTGCATACAAAATGACAAATAAAGAAGTCTAAGTCTAAGTCTAAGTCTAACTTCAGACCAGAATTCAGTGCTGGAAAATGAGTTTTAATCTTGCAGTTGTACTTACAATACGACCATCGCCTGATCCCAAGTCGACCAAACCTCCTGTTCTACCTCTCATCAAATTCATCACATTTTTTACTTGAGCTTTGCTAGCAGGGATGTAGGGGACCTGAAAGGATTTTATGTTTAGACAGAAGGCAAAACCTTCAAACTGCAGCAAAGTTTTAACAATGATGCTCATTAAAACCTGTAGCTTTAGTGGCACTTTTCTGAAGCCAGGCTGAAGGAGTCCAACCCACATGGCGTAGACTGCAAGCCCAGTGCCAGCAGCTATCTGCACAACTCCCCAAACTCCAAGGTGCTTGGTTCTGAGCTCAGCCAGCGCCTCATTTGGCATGTCGTCATCCATCTCTACAAGAAATCAGAAAGTCTGAGTCCAACTATGTTAAAATATTACAAAAAATGTCTTTATCCATGTAAAGGTCTAGAAAATATGTAGTCTTTGTGAGAACACTGTATATATAGTTTGCACTACAGTTGATGACTCTGTAGTTACACATCAGAGGAGTATTACTTCACTTAATGTGTGAAAAAAGACCCGACATTTACATGCAAAATAAAAATAGAATTGTATTCATCCCTAAGTGAAAATATAAATGTTTTCAATGTAGTGCAATATACATCATACATATAAACAATTACAATATAAACATACAATTAATGAAAAAATGCTTCAGTCAGTTGGGGAAATGATTTGAATTACCACTGTAAATTGATAATTTCAATGGACCAATGTATAAAAGAAGACATGGATTTAGCCCCGGGAAGCCTAAATAATTGATATGACATCATTAATCATACATACAGTTAAAGTTGATCCGATGCAAACGATAAACACGTTGTGTATTTCAGCATTTCGCGCTGGTTCTGCCGAAATCACACATTAAAATAATCTACACGGTGCTATTATGTACCGTGCGGCGTTTTCAGAATAAATAATACTTTTCCACACGACAACAAAAAAACTAAACGCCTAAGTTATGAACGTAAACAAAAACTCAGAGAACACCATGTTCTCAAAATAAAAAAAACCCTTCAGCGGTGCATTCGGACATATTACCGCGTAGAACAGGTGCATCTGCAAAATATTCCGTATTCTGAAGTTCCGGAGAAGCGAAGTCACTTTATTTGTGTGGGGAGGAGTTTGGTTTCGTCAAGAATATTTATGTACGGTTTTATTATATCTTTCTCAGACTATTAAAGCTTGAAATGGTTTTAATACATTGAAATAATAAAAAAAAGCACCAATGATTGTCTAATGTAATTTTAAAATATAACTTAAAGGCAAGTCTCTCACAAAAGTTGAATATATAAGATGTATCAGTCTTTAGCAATTATGTTGCAACAAATTGTTAATTTTCTCATAGCTGAGTTTCAGCCTTACAAATAAAACATTTAATGCTACCGTTTGTGATTAAAATTCCTTATTAGAAACTATACATCACGACACACACACACTAGGAAACCCTTTTAATTTACTAACCTGCTAGAATTTAAAGGTTAAATTTAAAACGAGCCAGTCTTTAATACAGCCTGTTATTGTAGGAAGTATTGTGATTAAAATGTTAAATTATAGGGAAAAAAAAACAAACAAATTTATTAAACAATTACTTTCATTTTATTTTATTCTTTTAACATTCACAGGCATATATTTAAAGCTATTGCATTTGGCTCTTGTAAAAAAAAAAAAAAAAAAGAAGAAGAAAAGAAATATAAAAAATATCAAACAACTTTTATTTTAGCTGGAACATTAAAACAAGCGACTTCAAATTTTTTATTAAAAGGTTTACAAAATATGTATGAATGCACAATTCAACAACAAACAAAAATGACACAGTCCATGTTTAGTCAGTGTCTGCATCGTCGCTAATGATTCCATGCAGGTTGGCCCACTCTGACATCTTTCTGCGTCCTTTGAGAGGAACGCTTTCCCGATCACTATCGGAATCAGAGCTCAAAGTGCGATGATAATTGGATGGAGGGTCTTTCAGTTCCCACATGGCTGAGGTTCCTCTGCGTTTAGGCCGACCTGAAAGGTGACCATAGATCATTAGATAATGCACCACAAAAGCTTATTAAATGCCATATAAGAATGACCAGATCTGGACTGTAATGTATTGCAAATGCCTTTCCTATATACTATTCATCTATTAAAGTTGGTAGAAAATACTTTGATCTTCTTATAACGTCAGCAAAAAAACTAGATTAAACATGTTTTTCATTATGGTGAAATGGCTTAAATATCGCAAGTCATCTGTGGCATCTAGAAACAACCACCTAACCACAATAATGTATTAGTATCAGGTACTTACTCATTTGGCTTTGATGCTCATAAAACCCCAAAATAAAAAGAAATAAACAAATTCGAAGATACCTTGAGTGGTGATGATATTGTGGACATCAAGCTCAGCCAGTTCCTGAGCTTCCTCCCTCTTTAATCGAATTTTCTTACATTTCTCAATAGAAGGGTTACCTGCATAGAAGGGGAAAGGCCATGTTACTATAAAGAAGGGTAATAATATAGTAACAGTTTGTTCAAATTGATTTGAGAGAAAGAGAACACATTTCTACAAAAAAAAAAAAAAAAAAATCAACATACAACTCAACAGAAATCAAGTTTGTGAGAGATTTGTTTTTGGGCAAATTTAAAAGGCAAAAATAATAATGGGATCCCTCCAACTGAGCAGCGTCTCTATTTGGATTTTTTCTAGGTTAGTAGAAACTGAAATAGAGAAGAACAGATTCTGAGATAATCTCATGCTCTTCTGATAATTTACAACCATTTTTGTTATCCTCTTTTGGAGGTTTCTCTCTTCCTCTGATTAACATTTTATACCATCGCTTTAAAAGGAAACCCCTACGATTTGGGGTCTGTAAAAAGACAAACGTATCCTCACTGACCACGGACACCAAGGTCTTCCAGTTCCTTCTTCAAAACAGCCACTTTGGAGCGAATGGAACAGCAGTCATCTAGCAGCTTCTTGTAATTCTTCCTTACACCACAGAGGGCGATGTAACGTTTGAGTCGCACAACTGCTTTGTCTTCCTCCTGCAGGTTTAAAAAGACAACAAAAAGAATATAACATTATGTCTTGATTCGAATACTATAAATGAAAGCTGTTACTCCTCTTCTTTCACCTTTCAGCAGGTCAACAGTAAGAACACTACCCAGGGTAGCAAATACTCCTGACTGCTGTGCTGAATCTAGTTAGCCTTCAGCCTTATAAATGTCCATGGAAAGGAGGTGCAAATGAATGATGCTCATCAAATTGGTGCAAATACAATTTGTCATGCAAATGATTGTAACAGTCTGTATAGCTCCTATGCGCCAGTTAGGAAAGTTGGAAGATCAATGAACTCTCAATAGGAAGAGTTCATTGATCATACGGGCTTCTTTTTCTACATCCTTCTTAACTGCCAGTACTATGCAGAGCATACTCCCACTTTAGCTTAGCAATCCTTATAGATTTGATGAATTTGAAAGGAGCCATGATCTTCTTAGTCTTCACTACCCATACAAATTAACATGATTTTTTTTATTTATATATTTTTCATATGCTGTGATGTTTTGCCATTTTCTGCAACTCATGCTGTAGAAATTTCAAATCAAAAATTTTATTATCTATGAACATTTCAATCAATCCTCCAAATGGAATATTATATACATGTATACACACACATATACACATACATGCATCCTTGATGAGCTCACCTTTGGACCTCCGTTCTTTTTGCCCACGTTTGCTTTCTTTTTCTTTTCATTTTTGTTTTTTTTCGGGCTGCTTTTCCGCTCATCCTCTAGTGAAGGCAGTGACGATGAATCTGAGTCGGAATCATTTTGCTTCTTCACATCTTCTTCTATTTAAAACAGCAGAAGAGCATCCAACAGCCGGTTAACCACGACCATACACACGTAAGCATATTTAAGCCATGCTGAACAGTTACCTTTTTTATCGGCAGAGGAATCTTCCTCCCCGGCTTTGTCACTTTTCTCTGACTTGCTGTCTGCATCACTTTCACTCTCCTCATCACTCCTCTGTGGTTTTTCTCCTCCACTTGTATCGGTGGTTCTAATCTCTTCCTTTTTGGCAGCACTGGCCTTCTTTTTCACAATTTTCTCAGGACTTGGACTCTCATGCCCACTCTTTTCTGACTCTTCAGATGAAGAATCATCACCTGACACACGAGGTTCAGCTTCGCTTTCATGTTCATGGTCAGATTCTTCTGCTGCTACTTTAGTTTTAGGCAGCGGACTGACTTGTTCTTTGCTTTGACTTTTTTCTTCACAGTTCTGCTCATCCTCAGAATCTGTGAGGAACATAATAACAGCAAGAAAAAAAAAGTATCAATGACATTTCCTGATGCAAGTCACATTCGTTGCATAAAGTTCAACCACAGAACTCACGAAATGAGGTTTCATGAAATGAAATAAGCTGTGACATGAAAACATGTCATTAGAGAAAGCCTTGCTAATTATTAAACTATACATAAGTTAGTTACATCAATGGCTGTTTATGTGAAATAAAAACTTATACCTTTAAATGTAGATTAGAATGGAAAAAACTAAATGTATTTCCTGCTAGAAAGCTAAAATGCACCACCATAAACATCATACCTTACATGTGAACATTTTCCCAGTCCATACCAATGGAAATGCAGCAGCTCAGAAGTTTCAACAATAACTACATGAAAATTGGTGCATTACATTCGCTTGGCTTCGTTCATGGAGCTTCAGTTTATACTGTTGAGCAATAATTAAATGCTGCAGCAGGTTAAGGTCTTTAAATACGAGAGAATCCATCTTTGAAAATCTCAGAGGATCTTTTCTTTCCATGTTTTCTGCTGATATAGAACTGGATTATGGAGAAACCTGTAAAAATTGAGATTCATTTCTTCTGTCAACTCTTTTTTTTAGCTATTATAAGATAGAAGACAAATCTTATGCTACAAACCCCTTATCTCAGCTCTCCTTTAATTTCCTGGCTGTGAATCTAGAATTCCTGTTTACAAGATGGTTCAACTGAAGTCATTAAATGTGGAAAAGCTGTAACTTCACATCAGAGCTGCTTACGAAGAGTAGAACATCTCAGCAAAACATCATAGAGACAGTATTCACCCTTTATGTTCCACGAGTGTTTTAGCTGTTGTGCATCAGAACATTAAGACTTCTGCATTTTTCTCTTAATACAACACTTCATTAATGTACAACAAAAACTGCTGCAAGTTGATGCATACAATGGGATAGAGAAAAGGTGCATTTAACCCCCCCAACACATACTCAAATTCAGATTTTTCAATTTCTAAAAAGAAAATGAAAATAGTAGAATCTTTAACCTCCTATAGTGAAAAGTTTTCTGTTTTTTTCCTCAGTTTTAAGAGATTAAAATGAAAGCTAAGGGTTAGGGTTAAATAAAGATGATACATTTAAATTATATACTTAAGAACAGGAGCTATGTTTGATTTTGCATTTTTTTTTATATCGCTAAAGACTGAGATCAAGCTTAATAAATATAATATATAGCCATATGGTATTGTACAGGACATTTAACATTAACTAACCAGTGGCATTATCGATTTATTCACTACCTGATGAAGAGGTCAATGCTTGTGATCTGGATTTCTTTGCCTTGGATTCAGTTTCATCTTCAATTTCCAGCTCCTCGCTTTCTTTTTTCCTTTTCTTCTGTGGTTTCTGTGATTCTGTGGTTTCAGAGTCGCTGTCATTGTTTTCCTACAATGTACAGAACTTTATTAGCAAAAAAACTTCACTAAAATATTAATTAACAAAAAAAAACAAAAAAACAGTATTATACATAAACTTCATTACCATGCATCAGAAAATATTGACAACTTTGATGCAAACAGAAGTTTGACAATCATTGTGCTTCAGATACCTGCAGTTTCATAAGCTCTTCTTTCACCACCTGCTTCATAATTTGTTTTGCGTCAGAACTTAATGATTCACATCCTGTAAGAGCCAGATATCGTTTTTTCAGTATTCCCAAGGTCAACGTGCTGGAAAAAAAAAAAAAAAAAAAAAAAGATAATCACATA